TCCTAATTATTCATACCTTGATCAAAAAGTTCCCGGAATTACTACCAGGTGATGTTCTGAGTCAGCTGATTTGAGTTCTGTTTTTTTGATTAGGTTGCCACATCTATCATTGACATTCCCACCAAATTTTATCGCCATAGCTTGACATTTGTAAAAGTTACGCCGTTTTGAGTACATCTACCTCTGCACGTGTTTTCGATTTTTTACAGTTTTAAAAATGGAGTTGAATTTGCAACAACGAGTTTGTATTAAATTTTGCGTTAAAAATGGATTCAATGGTGTGAAAAACCTTGGAAATGTTAGAAAACTGTTTCGGCAGTGATACTCTAAAGAAAACAGCCGTTTATGAGTGGCATGAAAACCATGTCGTTTTCAGTCGAAAAAGAAAGCGATGCTCACGGTTTTCATGGATTACAACGATATTGTACATCACGAATTTTTGCCAGAAGGTCAGACAGTTAATAAGGAGTATTATTTGGGCGTTATGAGACGTTTGCGTGAAGCAATTCGCCAAAAAAAAAAGGATTCGTGGGCAAACAACTCGTGGATTTTGCACCATGATAACGCACCGTCGCACAGTGCCATCATTATCCGTGAATTTTTGACCAAGAACGAAACGAATACCATCCAACAGCCATCGAATTCACCTGATATGGCTCCCTGCGATTTTTTTCTGTTCGATCGAGTCAAAAAACCACTACGGGGAACGCGTTTTAACAGCCGAAAGGAGGTAATGGAAAAATCGAAGACGGCTCTGATGGCTATACCGACAATAGAGTTCCAGAAATGTTTCGAGAGCTGGATCAAGCGTTGGCATAAGTGCGTTGCAGTCGATGGGGAGTACTTTGAAGGGGACAATATCACTTTTGATGAATAAACTTGTATTTTGAATTTTTTGAATGAATTCCGGGAACTTTTTGATCAAGGTATATGTATACAGGGTGGCCCATTTTAATCCATCCAGTCGAATATCTCTAAAACCAAGCCCGAGAGAGAAAAATGTTTCAGACAAAAGTTGTTTGGTTTCGAGGGGGCCATAAGACGGTACCATTGGTTTGACTTTGAGGAGTCATTTGAAGGTCACGTGAAGGTCACCTCAATCTTTTTAAATGGCACCCCCTATTTTTTATTACATATTCTTGTAACTGACCTCGAAAGCTTTCCAAAACGCTATAATAAAATATTTTTTCATGAAATACTTTTCGAGTTATGAGGCTTGAAATCATTTCTTAATTTTACATAAACCATAATATATCTAGTAAAATATTCATTTTTTGATTATCTTGCCTTAATACTTTTATGTACAAAATAATGAGAGAAATCAATTGGTGTAAAAAAAACACATAGTTGTTTTAAAGAAAAAATATGTAATTGTTAATTGCAAATTACATATTTTTTCTTAAAAATAACTATGTGTTTTCTTTACACCAATCGATTTCTCATATTATTTTGTGCATAAAAGTATTAAGGTAAAATAATCGAAAAATGAATATTTCACTAGATTTTTTATGATTTATGTAGAATTAAGAAATTATTCAAGCCTCATAACTCGAAAAATACTCAACAAAAAAATATTTTATTATAGTGTTTTGGAAAGCTCTCGAGGTCAGCTACAAGAATATCTAATAAAAAATAGGGGGTGCCATTTAAAAAAATTGAGGTGACCTTCACGTGACCTTCAAATGACTCTTCAAGATCAAACCAATGGTACCATCTTATGGTTCCTTTGAAACCAAACAACTTTTGTCTGAAACATTTTTCTCTCCTGGGTTTGGTTTTCGAGATATTCGACTGGATGGATTAAAATTGGCCACCCTGTATAAATATATATATATATATATATATATATATATATATATATATATATATATACAGCGTGTGTCAAAAATTCCGGGACGGCTGGATAATTTGAAGAATACGCATCACAGAGGAAAATGATCTAGACAAAAGTTGTAGGATTTTTCCCGGGCAATCCGACGGTGACCTTAGATTTGACCTTGGATAGTCATTTGAAGGTCACATAAAGATTACCTTCAATTTCTTAAATGGAACCCCCTATTTTTCATTGCATATTCTTGTAGCTTATCTCGAGAGCTTTCCAAAACATTATAATTAAGTACCTTTTTATTAAGTACTTTTTGAGTTATAAGGCTTGAAATAATTTCTTAATTTTACATAAACCATAAAATATCTAGTAAACCATTCATTTTTCGATTATCTTACCTTCATACTTTTATGTACAAAATAATGAGAGGAATCAATTGGTGTAAAGAAAACACATAGTTGTCTCTAAGAAAAAATATGTAATTTGCAATTAACAATTCCATATTTTTTCTTAAAAACAACTGTATGTTTTCTTTACACCAATTGATTCCTCTCATTATTTTGTACATAAAAGTATGAAGGTAAGATAATCGAAAAATGAATGGTTTACTAGATATTTTATGGTTTATGTAAAATTAAGAAATTATTTTAAGCCTTATAACTCAAAAAGTACTTAATAAAAAGGTACTTAATTATAGTGTTTTGGAAAGCTCTCGAGATAAGCTACAAGAATATGCAATGAAAAATAGGGGGTTCCATTTAAGATTTCAAACTTGCCCCCATTCACCGCCCAGGGGGAGGGGTGGGGGGGCTGATTTTAACGTCATTGTACGTCCCCCGAAATGACGAAATTTTGATTCTAACCATTTTTTCGTAGTGTGCTTATTTTTCGAGTTATTTGGCTGCCTAAGTTAAAATGGGTCACCCTGTATATATATATATATATATATATATATATATATATATATATGTTACATGGAATTTATAAATTCTAAATATTAATAATTACAAACGTTGGATATAATTTTATTTCGTGTATTAATTCGAAGTTAATTCTAAGTCTTATTTTAATTTAAATTTTTTATTATTCGGAGTCCCTTTATTGCATGCCAAGGGGGAGGTAAGAGTGCCTTTCATTTATCATAGTGTTAAATTATTTACGCAATAAATTTTGTAAATTTTTGAAATATTAATTATTAGCTTTATATATATTTTGTATAAATGTATATAGGCTTGTATGTACATTTATTTATTACCCTTTTTTTAGTTGATTCTTGTTATTCAATTAGTTAGATTAAATTTAATATTTATTTTGCGTGTATATAATAATCCCCAAAAATTTACCTTTTTAAAAAAAGGTAAAAAAAAGGCGCCAAGTTCATACACTAATTGTATCCAACTGTCATATTGTCTACAAAAATAGTGATAAAAAAATTGCGCCAACTAAGAATAAAAATTTGTACAAGATAAATAGTAAAAAAAATTTTAATTAAAAAAACTTGGCGCTGCCAATTTTATTAATATATTGTTTAGCTTAAAAGTCTAAATTTTCAAATCCAGAGTATCTTAAAAGAATTAATAATAAATGTCCAGCAATTATATTTGCTGTTAAACATATATTTAATTGGAATATATGCCAATTTTATTGGCAGCGCCAAGTTTTTTAAATTAAAATTTTTTTTACTATTTATCTTGTACAAATTTTTATTCTTAGTTGGCGCAATTTTTTTATATCACTATTTTTGTAGACAATATGACAGTTGAATTCAATTAGTGTATGAACTTGGCACCTTTTTTTTACCTTTTTTTAAAAAGGTAAATTTTTAGGGATTATATCACTTCTTTTTTTAGTCTAATTTGCTAAGAGATATTATATTAAAAAAAGTATGTGTGTATATATATATATATATATATATATATATATATATATATGTATATTCTTTTAATATATAAGCAAATTAATATTAATATATAAGCAAATTATATAAAAATATATATAGAATAAGTATATATAATATACATTTTATATTGTTCGAAATTCATAAATTATCACCGCGATATGAAAATTCGAGTAAATTAAAATCCGCATTTTTCCTATTATAAAACCCGAAAATTCAAAAGTAACGGGCGTCGAGAAACTTCTCGAAAACTCCATTTTTAACAAAAACTCGATCGTTCGAGTTCTCTCTTGTTTTTTTCAGCACATAAAAAACGCGTATCATAAACAATTGACAACAACATTGTCAACCGTCGCCGGAATCTAAGCGACAGACGGGCATGCGCGCCCATACGTCACGATCAGCTGATCGCCAATCAGCTGATCGAAAAGGATCGTGCGCATGGCAACTGTTAAAAAATTAATTCATGACCTCATCGGCGGCCAATTACGAGCGGCGCCCTCAGGTCACCGCCAATTTCCGAAATTAATTGGTCCACGTTACAACGGGACCAAAAATCAAGTCCGCTATATAAAGGGCCCAGCGCATGGACCCGACACAGTAAAAGTCTCGCACTTTCCCGCTACCGCTTGCACTGTAAAACCGCTTCGCTACGTAAAACCGCTTTGTACAACCGCTTCTTATACACGACCGCTTGCTCACTCGGACTTTTCGCTATCACTTCAGTGTCTGAAAACAATTATATTTTTGTGTAAACTTTCTTATTTTATTGTGTGTCGTTCAAATAAAACTTTATAAAAAATACAAAAATATACGTGTCGTGTCTTATCGTTGCATTCAATTGTGTGGTGTCCTGCCGCGAAATTCTTCGGAACGCGCTTTCCGCTCAAACTCTCTCATTCGCGAATATTTTCTGGTCCTTCGAGCCGGGTCGCCATCCGCATCCGCAGTTCGTGAGTGAAGTTCTTGTGACATCCAGTGCGCGAACCTGTGCAGAAAGACGATTACAATGAGTACCGATCTGAAGGCGTTGTTGGAAGCGCAGAACGACATCCACGGGCGAATGTCTCGCTCTGTGGACAATCTGCGCAAGATGGGCGTCTCGAGCATCACCGCCGAAGCAATCCAGACTCGCTTCCGCATTCTCGAGACTTTGTGGATCCGATTCGAGACCCATCATGATCTCATCGTAGCGGCGCTGAAAGATAAATATCTTGAGAGTGAGTACGCCAAAGCTGATTTTATTGATATCGCGGAAACCACGTGAAACAAAGGAGCATGCTGGTTGACTACGCAAATAAGCTCAAGGGTGAATCGTTCACCGCGCCCAAGGCCGAGACTCACCAAGAGCAGACGCTCAAAACTTCGCTGCCGCGAATTAAACTCCAGTCCTTCTCTGGCGCATACGGAGATTGGCCCGCGTTCCGCGACATCTTCCAGTCAATCATCGGGAGCAACTCGTCCATATCCAACGTGGAAAAGCTCCATTATCTCCGTACGAGTTTGCAGGGTCCTGCGGAAAAATTAATTAGATTGTTACCAATTGTCGGGGGCAATTACGAGCGAGCGTGGTCCATTTTGAGTTCTCATTACGAGAACAAGCGGGAGCTCATTCGCGCCAACTTCGCCGCGTACACCGCCGTGCCAAAGATGCAGGCCGCGACCGCTGACGAACTCAGCAGAATCTACAACGCCGCCACAACCGCCATCAATGCACAGGAGAGCATTGACAGGCCGATAGACACACATGGTATGGATCTTTTTAATTACCTTCTTGTGGAGCGGTTCGACCCGCAAACCAGGATGCAGTGGGAGTCTTCCATCCGCGATTCCGTCGACCCATCGACCAATGAAATCCTTATGGATTTCATCGCAAAACAAGTCCTCACACTGAATGCCGTGCAGCCAGCTACCGTCGCAAAGTCTAGAGAGGCTTCTCGGTCCGCGAAGTCGCACTTCGTGAAGCGCGCGTCCGACTCCTCTACTTGCGCCGTCTGCAAGGAAAAACATTCAGTTATGCAGTGCGCGACGTTTAAAGCCAAGACCGCGACAGAACGAAAGAACCTTGTAGAAGCAAACAAGCTTTGCTTTAATTGCCTCGGGAATCACTTCCTGGCAAAATGCCAGTCAGTCAAAACGTGCTTCTCTTGTAAAGCACGGCATCACACACTACTACACGACGCGTACGTCCAGTTCGACGGAGCGAATTCGTTGTCCGCCACACACGTCGCGTCGGACCGCAAGGCGATTCTCCTCGCTATCACTCGGGTCACCATCAAGGACCACCTGGGGAGACCACACGACGTCCGAGCGCTGATCGACCAAGGATCCGAGGTCTCTCTGGTCGCTGAGACTTTGGCCCAGCGGTTGCGTCTGCCGCGGAACCGCTCGTCGATGAGAATTGCCGGCATTGGAGGAGCATCCAGAACATGCGGACGGCTGTCGATGACGCTTTCCTCGGCGATCACTGGAGCAGCGCTCTCGGTTCAGGCGTATATCCTTCCGCGTCTCTCGACATACCAGGGGCCCGTCGTGCGATCCAGCATCACCTGGCCTCACATACGCGGTCTCCCCCTGGCCGATCCACAATATCTGGACCGAGACCCGATCGAGATTCTGCTCGGCGCGGATGCCTACTCCGCCATCCTCCAGGAAGGGCTCCGCAAAGGAAGCCAGAACGAGCCCATCGCTCAGAAAACTTCTCTCGGGTGGATCCTATCGGGCGGTCACCGAGCCACCACCCAGGGAGGCCACGCCGCACATCAATGCACGGTAGACCGCCAGCTGACCAACCTGGTGCAGCTTTTCTGGGAGCAGGAAAAGGAGCCTGCTACTCCAGTCGCTCTTACCCCTGAAGAAAGGAGATGCGAGGACATCTTCGTCCGCGAGCACACACGCACCGACGCGGGACGCTACGTCGTGAGGCTCTCCTTCTCCGGCGCTCCGCCTTCTCTCCTGGAAACCCGCAGGCCGGCCGAACGCCTGCTCCATGCCATGGAGCGTCGCTGCGACAAGGACGCTCGATTCAGCGGCCTCTACCACGACTTCATGCAGGAATACGACGACCTGCAACACATGGAGATGGTAAACACCTCATCCGAGGAAACGGACACGGCCAAGTGCTACTTACCGCATCACGGAGTGTTGCGTGAAACGAGCACCACCACCAAACTCAGGGTCGTATTCAACGGCTCCCAGCTCACAACCACCGGCACGTCGCTTAACGCCAGTCTACTGACTGGCGCCAACCTCTTGCCAGCTCTTGCTGACGTGCTCCTCCGCTGGCGCTGGCACCGCTACGTGTTTGTGGCGGACATTGAGAAAATGTACCGCCAAATCCTCATCCACCCGGACGACCGCGAGCACCAGCGTATACTTTGGCGGCACCGTGCCGCCGACGACATCCGCGAGTACCGCCTATGAACGGTCACGTATGGCTTGGCGTGCGCACTATTCCTCGCCATACGGACCTTGCACCAGCTCGCCGACGACGAAGGTCATCGATTTCCGCAAGGAGCTGTCGCGCTGCGCCGCGATACTTACGTGGACGACGTCGTGACCGGCGCAAGCACCCTCTCGGAGGCCACCTTGGTCCAACGGGAGCTCCGCAGCCTCTGTATGGCGGGCAGGTTTCCGCTTCGGAAATGGGCCGCCAACAGCCTCAGCGTCCTGGACGGAGTTCCACTCGAGCACCGACTCACCCGCGCACCTCACTCGTGGTCGCACGAGAGTCACGCGACACTCGGACTTCATTGGCACCCGGCCAGTGATCACTTCACCTTCGCGGAACGGGCACGGCACTACAACGAACTCACGAAACGACTAGTCCTGTCCGAAACCGCTCGGATGTTTGACCCGCTGGGCCGGCTCACTCCGGTCACAATGCGGGCTAAAATCCTGATCCAGTCCGCCTGGCTCCGGAAACTCGATTGGGATACTCCTCTTCCATCGGCGGACGCACTAGCTTGGAGGACCATGCTCTCGCAACTTCCGCGCCTCAATGAGATCAGGATGCCTCGCTGGCTCGGCAGCGATGATCCTCATTCACGCGTCGAACTTCACGGGTTCGCCGACGCATCAGAGCGAGGATACGCCGCCGTAGTGTACCTCCGCTCGTCCACTGAAAGGGGCACTACGCTTCACTTGCTGAACGCAAAGGGCAAGGTCGCCCCCCTGAAGCCCGTATCGTTGCTGCGGCTCGAGCTGTGCGCGGCTGCCCTTCTGACAAACCTCGTTTTTCACACGCGCACTTTGTTGAGTTTGTCCTCAGCTCCAGTCTTCCTCTGGTCAGACTCCAAGGTCACACTACACTGGATCCACGGCCACGCGTCCCGCTGGAAGACTTACGTGGCCAACAGAGTGTCGCAAATCCAGGAGCGACTACCCGAGGCGCGATGGCGACACGTGCCGGGCAAGGACAATCCAGCTGACTGCGCCTCCCGAGGAGTCCTGCCCAGCGACCTGGTCGGTCATCTCCTGTGGTGGACCGGACCATCCTGGCTCCGAGAGGACGAGGCAAGATGGCCAAGTGACGACGGCGCCCTGCCGGACGCCGATTTGCCGGAGCAAAGAACCGTCGCCTCACTCGCGGCCGCCGTCGAGGTCGCCTCCGAATCGGACTTCCTCCTCCGCTTCTCATCACTACACAGGCTCCTCAGAGTGACAGCGTGGTGCCTTCGATGGCGGAGACCAGGCATCCGGAGGACACGCGACAGCATTCGCACCGCACTCTCGCTCGAGCCCCACGAGATCGAGGACGCTCTCCTCCGCTGGGTTCGCGTCACTCAGACACTGCACTTTCACAGCGAGCTCACAGCACTGGGCAAGGGTCGTGCCTTGCCACCGCGAAGCCCGCTCACACGACTAAATCCGTTCCTCGATGGCAGCGGCGTGATGCAGGTCGGAAAGCGTCTCAAACATGCCATCCTGTCCCACGACGAGCGGCATCCCATCATCATACCGCCGGGATCCAAGCTGACCCACCTGCTGGTGCATTCCTGCCACCGACGGAGCTTACATGGAGGAGTGCAGCTAACTCTTGGGTTACTTCGCCAACGCGTGTGGATCCCACGAGGTCGAGCCGTCGTTAAACGGACAATCCACCGATGCGTTGTCTGCACGCGATGGAGAGCCGTCGCACCACAACCACTGATGGGCAACCTTCCGCGAGCACGGGTGACACCTGCACGCCCGTTTCTACGCACTGGAGTCGACTACGCCGACTCGATCCTCATCCGGACCAGCAGGGGCCGAGGCCACCGGGCAAGCAAGGGCTTCATCTCAGTCTTTGTCTGTCTCAGCACCAAGGCAGTTCACTTGGAGGCGGTCACCGATTATACGGCCGAGGCGTTCCTGGCCGCCTTCCGCCGCTTCGTCTCCCGGCGAGGCCTCTGCACTGAAGTCTTCTCCGACTGCGGTACGAACTTCGTTGGAGCAGACCGGGAACTGCGGGAGATGTTTCGCGCCTCATCCTCCGACGGCCGTCGGATAGCTCACGCAACAGCCTCCGACGGCGTGAGATGGAGGTTCAACCCCCCGGCAGCACACTTCGGCGGGCTTTGGGAGGCGGCCGTCAAGTCCACGAAGCATCATCTCCGAAGGGTCATCGGCGACGCCACCCTCACCTACGAAGAAATGGTGACCCTTCTCTCAGAGGTGGAGGCGTGCCTCAACTCACGCCCTTTGCAACCGCTGACGGACGACCCCGATGACTTGACGGCACTCACCCCAGGGCACTTCTTGATCGGAGCTCCCCTCTTGGCCGTTCCAGAGCCGTCACTCACCGCCGAGAAGGACACCGCGCTGTCTCGATGGCAACTTCTGCAAAAGATGCGCGACCACTTCTGGGAACGGTGGACGCGCGAATATCTCAACGCCTTGGCGACACTCCCAAAGTGACTTAAAAATGAGATCGGCCCCAGCGTCGGCGACCTGTGCCTGCTCCGATCCGAAACCATCCCTCCGACCAGGTGGCCACTTGCCCGCATCACGGCACTGCATCCCGGAGACGACGGAATCACCCGCGTGGTCACCATCTGCACGACATCGTCGGAACTGACCCGGCCACTCGCGAAGATCGTCCTTCTGCCAGGAGCCGACACCGAGACATCCTCATCGCACTCGGATTCGTGAGCCCGCACTTTATCACACTTCATTTGCGTGTCATTCGCACGCGGCGAATTTCCGAAAATTGCGCCGCGCTGAATCACATTCACACACTCGTTACAAGTTCGATCCGTAAACCGCGTTATCATTTTTCGTTCTCTTCTCACGCTCACTCATCACTGCACTACACATCGCAACACTTAACATTCACTGCACTCGCGAAAACTGCACTGTATCATTCTGTTCATTTCATCACCAAACACCGCATTACTCACTCTCGCGAAAAGCTCAATCAAACTAATCAACACGTGTCTTCAAATGACGTCACGCATTCCAGTCATATATCACGATCAATGGCTCATCAATAGAACAGTACGCGACACCTGTCTGCATCCGCGCACACTTACAAATTTCGTCATATAATGACGAGGCGGGCGGGATGTTCGAAATTCATAAATTATCACCGCGATATGAAAATTCGAGTAAATTAAAATCCGCATTTTTCCTATTATAAAACCCGAAAATTCAAAAGTAACGGGAAGAACGTCGAGAAACTTCTCAAAAACTCTATTTTTAACAAAAACTCGATCGTTCGAGTTCTCTCCTGTTTTTTTCAGCACATAAAAAACGCGTATCATAAACAATTGACAACAACATTGTCAACCGTCGCCGGAATCTAAGCGACAGACGGGCATGCGCGCCCATACGTCACGATCAGCTGATCGCCAATCAGCTGATCGAAAAGGATCGTGCGCATGGCAACTGTTAAAAAATTAATTCATGACCTCATCAGCGGCCAATTACGAGCGGCGCCCTCAGGTCACCGCCAATTTCCGAAATTAATTGGTCCACGTTACAACGGGACCAAAAATCAAGTTCGCTATATAAAGGGCCCAGCGCATGGACCCGACACAGTAAAAGTCTCGCACTTTCCCGCTACCGCTTGCACTGTAAAACCGCTTCGCTACGTAAAACCGCTTTATACAACCGCTTCTTATACATGACCGCTTGCTCACTCGGACTTTTCGCTATCACTTCAGTGTCTGAAAACAATTATATTTTTGTGTAAACTTTCTTATTTTATTGTGTGTCGTTCAAATAAAACTTTATAAAAAATACAAAAATATACGTGTCGTGTCTTATCGTTGCATTCAATTGTGTGGTGTCCTGCCGCGAAATTCTTCGGAACGCGCTTTCCGCTCAAACTCTCTCATTCGCGAACATATATATATATATATATATATATATATATATATAATTAATATATATATATAATTAATATATATATATAATTAATATATATTTATATATATTTATATTTAGCTTGTAAAATAGATATATATATTTATTTACCTTGCTCCAATTATCATACCGTACTGCCTTTTGCCAATTTTTAATTAATAATTTAATTATTTATTATTTATAACTTGCTCTTTATCACTCAAAATGCGGTTAATGATACATGTCACTAATGACACATATGACACATGTCATTAATATATCGAAAAGCGTCGCTAGCGCAATCTTCTGTCGAGAATAGGAAAAGGACATTTTCTCTTTCTATGTGTTGTGTACATGTGAGTCGATGATGACCATGATGATGAAAAGACGTTTCTTAATTGAAAATTTTCATATTTCGACTTTGCATTATGATATTTCCGTTAATAAATCACGCAGCGCAAAAATAAAGATACTTTCTTTATACAAATCAAACTCGCTCTATCGATTAAGGCTAGTGTTAGCGATTTATTACAAACAGGCGCGAATAACGGCCACATATGTTTATGTCGTGTATGTTTATATTATTTTTTATGTTTGGTCGAGGACACGTTTGTCGGAGGAAAGCGTGGCAAAGCGTGTCTTCGCCCTATTGGTCGCGTTCAAGAATCCGAGAGACGAGGATCGCCGTATATATATGGCAATCGAGCGATCTTGAGGTCGTCGCGAAATATATACCGAAAAATAAATAAACGCCGCCTGACGATTCCATTGTAGGAGAATAAGTAAGAATATAATAGCTCTCGTATCAAAAATAAAGTCTCTAAGTTCTCTTCACCTCTCCCAGAGAAGCGGCCGTGAATCGGCAGTTTCGAGCGCGTGTGAAAATTGATAGCGGGTTCGTGAAAAATTGCTAACAGTTTATCAGAAGCTGGATTCGAATCTGTGTGCCGGTCGTTCGGAAAGGAAGAAGAAGAAGGAAGCAGTATGAATGTTCCGCGAGGTGCTGAATTTACAGTGATGGAATTAAAGGAGGCCTTGCGGTCGAAGAGATTGCCGACCGGAGGAACGAAGGCCGAGCTAATGCAGAGGCTAATGGA